TTTCTTTTTAGTTGTAAAACAAACAACGAAAAAAAAAGTGTTCCTACAATGATATACTTGATAAATATTAGTATAGTAATATACAAAACGAAAGAAATATTTTTAGAAAAAACATTCTCTTTTTCCTAATCATTCAATATAAAATACTGTTTGATTTGGTTATAAAATTGACTGAAAAATATGAATAAAATAAAATTTATTATACGATTTATAAATTTCTAATGAACTTCAATATAAAAGATTCTCTATTCTTGACAATGTTTTCTTTTTGGTTTATGCTCTATTTTATTGTAACACTCGGAAGTAGTTATAGGGAATTTAATAATGAATTAAAAGATTCTAACGAAGAAAGACAATGAAAGAAACTGATTTCAAAGAAAAGGTATGGGTGTGCAGTGCTATATTGTCTTTGATACTACATGCACACTCTATAACCACTGAAGATACTTTATCAATATCAATTATTATTTAAATTATTCATGTGATGAAGTTTACAATACCTAAATTACTTTTATTCCTGATTGTTCTCTGTCTACACCATAGTAATAGCATGAGCTGATTTGTATTTTATTGTCTGTAGTTTGCCAACGTTCTACTTCCTGAATATAGGAATTGTTTGATTTAAAAAATTTTAAATTTTGTCATTTTTCAGAAACTATAGGTTTTTCTTAAGTCTAATATTTGGAAAACAAAGCAATGGAATAAATTAATAATTTTTATTAATTGATAGCTCATCAACTGTATTTAAAAAATGTTTTTAAAACTTAAAAGTTTTATGCATCATTTAGTTTTTCTAATCGCTCTACAAATAGTCATCCTGGTGATTAGTTGAGAATAAAAGCATAGAAATACGGAGATACCAATATAAATATAACCATATTTCTATAATCTTATATCAGGTTGATTAAAATAGTCTCTATTCAAATAAAAATACTTCTTTAAAAACATAAGTGAATTATTTTCAATATACTGAATTGTACTCTTGGTAATATCTCGATACACTTGTATGTTCTACTTTAAAACAAGTTTCTTCTAAATTATATGCTAGAATAGCTAAATAAAATGTTTGGCACTCGTGTAATCTACTCTTAAATACAAACAGTAACTGCTTCAGGCAAAAATGTATAAAATTTCAGTTCTATCTAGTCCTATGTATATCGTATGCGAATGCGAGCTTAACTATCTTTTTTACGAACTTTTAAAATTCACTTGATGAATGTCAATAATATTATGCAAACCTAAAATAGAATGAAAAACTCTTTCCAGACAAAAAATATAAATAAATACAACACAAGTTGAACCTATAAATAGTGTTTCTTGTGTATTTCGCGAATAGATTAGGATATTTCGACTTCAAAAGTAAAATTTATTAAATGAGAGTATGGCGTGGATGTGGGTGTACTGTGGGTGATAGACAACTCTTTAATCTCATCCACACCGATAGCCACAGTTGCAACCACACTCACACCCCAAAAGTGCATCAATGCTGATGGACATCAGTTCGAACATTTGAATTAAGTTGCTTTATGATTTTAGTTTATATTCACTATTAATTCATATAACAGAGACTTAGTTTTGATCTTCTCATGACACTACCTAAAAACAAAAGAGTCTGAGAAAATGCATGTGGATCATCCTGTAACAGTTTTTTGATCCTGTAACAAGTGACAAATCTTTATTGATGCAAATCTTACTATCTATGAACAGTATTTGTTGATGTTTGTTTTATGAAAAAAACTTTGAGTGAACCTCTATTACTAGTGAAAATTTCAGCTCATTCGATCGATAACCAGCGGAGATATTAAAATTTCTCGTTGCCGTGTTATTTATTCTCCACCCTGTATTTTTCCCTTTTTGACAAAACATGTTGAAGTTGACGAAAATTTCTGAGATGGAGAAGTCCATTAGACCTGTGTCAAGAAGAATAAGCAGATGAAAATGAAAAGAAGAAGTAAGTAACAAAACTTTTTGAAGGCGTAGATCTAACCAACGTGCATTCAAAGATAAAATATGAAGAGAATTTTCAACAGATGATTCTCTGAGAAGAAGAAACTTCCATTTATATAAGCAAGAAGATAATACGAGACTACTTACTAAATCCAGTAAAATTTCGTCAAAGAGAGGAAAATCAAAATCAGAAAGACATTCTTTGGTCTTACCGAGAAAAATTTCTCTTTCGTAAAGTAAAGATGGCGGAATACAGGAGAAAAAAGGAATAGCGAAAGGTAGCAGGGTCATGAGTAGTTTTTTCCTTCGAAAGCTAACTTCAATTTCGCACGAATTATTTCAAAATTTGTCTTGAGACCAGGATTTAGTGATCGACCATGTTGATCGAGGTTGATCGATAATATCGCTTTTGACATTTCGTCTAATATGGGCATAAATAATTTTGTTAATATATTTTCATGTTTTTTTTTTTGGAATTTGATCTCGTGTTGAATTTGATTAGTTTTTTAATGTTTTATCATTATTTTTTAATAAACTAACATCTTCTAACATAATTCTATCACTTATTTTTTGTGATTCATAAACTTTTCGAAATTATCGTTGCATTTTATCTTATTGAGATTCTCATTTATTTTTCCCATTTTATTCATGAATTCATCCAATTTTGACATAATCATACCGTTTGAACCACTAAAAGATGGATTTTGTGACAGGTTTAATTCTGGAAATTGAGCAGGATCGTATTTTAAGATATTTTCTGTTATTATCGTTTTTTTAGCTTGTAAATAATGATTTTTTCGTTAACGCTGCCAGATATTTTTTAGCCACTGGGCAACTTGTCGCATTAGATAAATGCCCGCTGCCACAGTGGTTACATCGGGGCTCATTTGAACATACATGTTGTTTTAAATCAGGAAATGATTGACAACAAGTTTTACAAGTATCATTTGATTATGTGCATTACCGTTTGAAATGGCCAATGCCACAGCTTTTGCTGCAAATTAAAATACATGCCGGTGCTATATATTCTTCAGCATTGTAAGAACTATAATTGACATTAATATTACCATTTTCTAAAAATCTGATTTCGAATTTGAGTTGATAATAATTCAAGTTTAACAAATTTGATATATTGCTGAAAATTATTTTTTAAGCTAATTGTGTTTTGAATTTCTGGAAACTTTGGTTTTAGATCATTAATGAATTTATATTTGTACAAAAATCAACTTTCTAAATGCTCAATGATAGTTGAGGAGGAGTTGGTGGTGAAGAAAGAAGTATAAAAGTTTCACCTCTGATTCGTTGTAACCATCTTTGTTGAATAAAGAAGCTTGTGATTGTGCTGAAGTCTTTAGCACATAATAATGTGTGTGACAAAAAAAAGAAGAAATCTTCATTGTATCGGGAACAAAAAACATTCTTAATCGATAAAAGTTTGTTAATAGTCAACAATTTAAACTCAATCAATATTTTAATTGAGATTAAATCTTAAATTATTCATACAAAAAACCTAGACATGCTATTTTTCATTAATTATTTTCTTGTATCGATATTCATCATCATACAACATTAACCCTTTCAATCCCGTATGCCATCTACGCGATGCCATGCAGAACGAAAAAAGAAATATTTTGCCTTCTTTCGTCTTCTGAAACGACGAATATCATATGATATGTTTAAAGGAAAATTCGTATAGTTATGTATAATAAATGTAGATTCCAAACACATGATTGTGATAGCTGAACGCAAGAGAGATAGTTTAAACCATCTTTTTTTCGTGTTCATGTAGAATGCAAGAAAATGTCGAGATTGAAAGAGTTAATAAAGAATATCAATTTTTATTCTTATGACAAAGTCGAAAGCTTTTGATGATGAAATTATTTCATTCATTTAGTATTTTTGTCAATTTCATGAATGTATTTTATTTCTTCTACATCGTTGATTTGGAGCAATCATTTGAATATTGAATTAATATATAGAACAAGATAAAGTTCAACATTTTGTTGTTGATTCAAGCAACGTATTGCTTGATGTCGTTGGTGTTTAACTATTAAAACTAATATCACGAAATATTGCAAAAATTCTTTTTGTTGATCTTTTTCTTCATCATTGTTTTGTGAATATTCTCAAAAGATCAAATCCTTTCTCCATTTCAATAGACTTAAAATACATAAAACTATATTCGACATTATTTCTTCATAATGCATGTGCATGTATATTCTAGTGATTGTCTACTAATTAATTGATGAATTTGTATCATTATTCAATCATGAATTTGACAAACAACAATATTGGTATGATGATTAAGATTATAATATAGTCTAGAATATTTTTTGCACAATAAATCTTCTAGAAACTAAGACTTTAAAACACCATCTGTATATCGATATTTCATTATAATCTATAACAAAATCAATTTCAATTTACTTCTTCGAATCATTAGTAACTTATTCTATTTAAATTAACAACTAAATAAAAAGAAACAAAATAAGACAGGAACTATTCGATGAGAATTATTTTATAAGAAACCACTGCACAAATAATAAAATATTCATTAAACACAAAATTATTAAAAAAAACTTCGACAAAGTCAACAGAGTTAATTTATCCAATTTATCATACAATTTTATGTTAAGTTCAAAGACGAAAAGATATTTTATAATCAATCATTTCAATTATTTAGTTGTCTCCTTCCACACATAATTGCTGTAATACGATGCTCAAAAAATATCATTTAAATATCAAAATTTATGACAATTAACAAAAAAATTTACATCAGTTGTTCATCTCATTTACTTCCTTTTCTTTCACGATCGGAAGAGTAATCTTCTTTGTTTAGGCCACATACAGAAGCACCACGAAAAACGATTTTATCGTCGGTTATGTTTTCTAGGGAAAGTTCATCAATCATTTTGTCAAAACTAAACGGAAAACTAACTAGGCAATCATTTATAATTTCTTTCACAACAAACAGAAAAACTACATATATGAGGTTTTTCTGACAATTGACACTATCAAATTTGTACCTGGTCACAGTCTCTATTTTGATTGAGCTAAGAAGAAACACGTTGAATATCTTCTTCAATCCTTTTCACATCTGGATGTTCAGATGGTAATGATTTATGATAGATAGTAGCAGCCTTTTCAAGGTATAACAATGCTTGTGTCAATTCACCCTTATCCTCATGTAACAAACCTAAATTTTCGTAGCTGTTGGCAATATCTGGATGATGAGGAGGAAGTGATTTCAGTCCGATCTGCAAGCATCGATTATAATGTTCCAAAGCAAGATCATAATGACCGGGACAACGATGCATTTCGCCAATATTATTATGAGATGTACCTATATTAGAATGATTCAAAGGTAAATGCTTCTCATCAATAGAAACTGATTTTTCGTAGAAGTTTAATGCTTCCAAGTACTTCTTATGATTTTGGTAGAAGACAGCAACATTGTTATAAAAATGAGCCACGGACATATGATTCTCATCGTGTGTTTGTTTGAAAAGTTCAATACCTTTATTATACCATTTCAACGCTTCATTGTCATCACCTTTCCTCCAATGACTCACACCGATGCAGTTGAATATTCTACTAATATTGACATAATCAGATGGATTTGTGCCCATTTTGATTTCCAATGACTTGTGGAGCCATTGAAGGCTTGAGTCATAATCACTTTTGTCCTTCATTATCAAACCAAGTGAATAATACAGTTCAGACAGGATTGAATCATCTGATGGAAGTTCATTCGATAAACAATGAAAAAACTTCTCAGCTAAATCATATTTGCCCATTTGACGTAGTACTTCACCGAATAAAAGAAGATTCACTTCATTATTTTCACCGCCATATTCTTTCTTCATGTGTTCGAAAAGGTTCTTTAAATCATGTTGATCATCACTACGTAATTCCATTCGAATCATCCATATTTTATCATTATTTTTATGAATATCAATTAAACGAAAAATACAACCAATCATAAAAAGTATTTCTTCTTCATTATCAAAATTGCTAAACCTACTAATATCAGCGAATGGTTTTGATATGACAAATTGAGGATCAGCATCAATTTCAAATAATACCCGTCCAAGATCATTCGAAGAACTTGAATTGGTAAGCATAAAAAGGGCCAATTCTCGATCAAGCGATGTTGAAAAAAATGAGTTTATTGATAAAAATTCTCCAATAGACTTCTTCTTTGAACATCAGTTGACCTCGATAAACTAAAACAGATGATTGACATTGATTTTGTTTTAATTGTTGATATATATCAGCAATCACAAATCGAAAAAGAAATAAAATATCAATATTTTGTGTTCTTAATGCTTTGTTTAAGATTTTATATAGAAATGAATCACGACTATACCACCACAAGGCTTTTTCTGATGAATATTGTTCATCGAATTCATGAACCATAGCTAATTGAGCCGATTTTCCTTCGTATTGATTGTTACAAAGAGAGATGAGTTGTTGTTTATCTTGTTCAGTAGCTTTCATTCTAAAAAGAACATCAATAAGTAAAAGCGAGTGAACAAAATGACCATTAAGTTCAATTGTTGATTGATCAATATTTTCATGAATAGAATAAATATTGAATGATAATGGCTCTTCAACTTTGGTTCGAGTTTTTTGATCTTGTTTGATTTTTGAAATAAGATCATCCAGTTTAACAGCTACAGCTTTGACCTTTGAAAAAGAAAGAAAGGGGAAAAGAGAAACATTGAGAATAAATGTGATACTTTAGTATAATCTTTTGACCATTGTTCATTTGTTTTTTTGTCCATTAAATAAATATATATTGATGTAATTTGTTGAAGATAATGAATATGAGGAACTGTACATTTCTACCTAATCTATCACTAACAATGAAAACAATTCGATCTTGTGAAGAAGTGGATAAGATATATTGTCGACAATGATCTTCATTATCAAATGCTTTGAGATGATTAATAATTTGTCGAAGTTGTTTTCGGACTTGTTGATTTTCTTGAGCTGTATTAACTTGATCATGAAGCCAAAGAAGAGAAAATGGCTCAAGATTATTATCATTGTTTTGTGTGTGAGTTTCGTCTTTTTGAAAAGCAACTGGGGCCATTTTCGCTGTTATGTCAAATGTAACCGTTTTTGTTTTTCAGATTGTATTTATATGTTCTTATCTCGTATGAAGATTCACTTTATGAAGTATTATGTGATGCATTCAGTAGTGCATTCTTGTTTTATTACTACGAAGAATAATAAGGAGAACGCACAAAAAAACCAAGCATACGCTTACATTCACTGATGAAATCCTTGTATGTGTGTTTTTGTTGGTATTTTTCATGTAGAAAACAAAATGAGTCACATAGTGTTAGTGTTAACAGATGACACTAGGTTGCCGCTAACCGGTTTTTGTTATTTATTGTCCATTGTCTATTAGTCTTTCTCTTCCCGCATTTTCCTGTTTGCATTTGCCTTCAGTTTTTGCATATACATACTAGAGGTGTACCGCTTACGCTCATGAGCATTTATATGAGTGTGAGCGGTGGTTGCTCACGCTCATGAGTGTAATTAGCATGAGCGTGAGCTGTACAGCCCTAATACATACATCGTGGGCCATAAATAACACGGCAACAAGAAATTTTAATATCTCCACTGGTTATCGACCGAATGAGCTGAAATTTTCACTAGTAATAGAGGTTCACTCAAAGTTTTTTTCATAAAACAAACATCAACAAATACTGTTCATAGATAGTAAGATTTGCATCAATAAAGATTTGTCACTTGTTACAGGATCAAAAAACTGTTACAGGATGATCCACATGCATTTTCTCAGACTCTTTTTTTTTAGGTAGTATCATGAGAAGATCAAAACTAAGTCTCTGTTATATGAATTAATAGTGAATATAAACTAAAATCATAAAGCAACTTAATTCAAATGTTCGAACTGATGGCCATCAGCATCGATGTACTTTTGAAGTCGTTTAGGCATTGACTCACAAACTTTCTTACATACATCAGAATTTAATGTTGAAAAAGTTATTATGATCGATTGCTTGAGATTGGATAAGTTTCGAGGCTTACTTTTGTATATGATATGTTTAAGATATCCTCACAAGAAAAAGTCAACTGATGTGAGATTAGGAGACCTAGCAGATCAGTCAGTTGCACTTTGACGACCAATCGACCTTGCTGGAAAGTTTTCGTTAAGCCAATCTCGAACATCAGAAGCATAATACGCTGGCACGCCACCTTAGATAGAAAAAAATTGATTCATTACCTGGTAAATTACAAGATATTGGATAGAAGTAATCACTCAGCATTGTAATATAACTTTGAACAGTCACCGTGTTATCGAAGAAATAAGGTCTGATTACACTCTGAAATCGAATACCAGCCCACATAGTGAGTCCTTCAGGTTGCAGTGTTTGCTCCTATGTGCCATTTGAATTCTCAATTGTCCAATAGGTAGAATTATGACGATTAATATGTTCATTGAGTCTAAATATTGCCTCGTCCAACCATATGAAACGATAAACAAGATCAAATTCGCTCTGTACAAACGATAAGAACGCCTCACGGTATTCAACTCATTGATCAAAATCGTCTTTATTGAGTTAATGAACCAATTAAGGAATGTACGACTTATAGCCCATAAATTTCTAGATATGTCGAATTGAAGATCTTGAAATATCTAATTGTAAACTCATTTGATGAGTCGACGTTCGAGGTTCTTTTTCCAAAATCGAGGCAACTTCATCTTTTGTAGTTTGGTCAGTAACTGACACCGGTCTACCAGGTAGATCGATATTGATTACAGAAGCAGTCTGTTCATATTTGTTCATCAGTAATCTTATCGTGTCTCGCTGTGAAGGATTGTTTTTGTTTCTTTTATCATAATCTTTGCACATCGATTGGATATTCGAGACAATATATATATTTGACAATTCATGTATTCTCGTTCAAACTCAATTGATGCCTGCTACGTTTGATGCTAAATCCCAAATTTAAGAATGTATACACTTCAGTTACAATGGGGTCTTATTGTTTGTATGAAAGAAATGTCTTATCGAATGAATTTTTGATAGAACAATGTATGAATGAATGCATTTTTCAAATGTTGATCATATATATAGGGTTGAAACAATGAAAAACCGAAAACGCAATGAGAATACACGAAACTCAAGAAACACCTCGTCAAAAGAGAAATATAAGAAACGAAAGAAAAAATTGCTATATAGGACTATGTCACAGTATAACGAGGTTATAAATAGAAGAAACAGATTAATAAAAATAGTCTGTAAACATTCTGTAACTTTTTTTAAGTCCGTAACAAGTGACATATCTTTATAGATGTTAATCTTACTAGCTATGAACAGTATTTGTTGATGTTTGTCTTATGAAAAAAAACTTTAAGTAAACCTTTATTACTGGTAAAAAATTAAGGTTATTCTGTCGACAACTGGCGGAGATATTAAAGTTTCTTATAGGCGTGTTATTTATGGCTCACCCTGTATCTCTATCTATAATTGTGCTGCTGATTCTAGAATCGAAACAGCAAACACCCGCCATATAAATAATAGAACTCTATTCTTATATCGACTGGAAGGATGCAAAACATCAACAGGCTGCTTGGCAGCGTTACATACTAGATAGGTAGGAAGATAGATAATCATAGAAACAGTTGCACATGTATCTGTTTTCTCTAAAACTATCAATCTAACGACAAACTAATAGAAACTGACGATTTTTTAATAGAAATGCAAGCAACAATAGAATTCGTAGGATTCTCATCCAAAGAAATTCGCACAATTGACAAAAGCGCAAAACACAGAGATACTTAGTGAAGAATTCCTAAGCGAATCCCTGGAGAATCCCTGTCAAAATTCCCTGGGGAATCCCAACAAGGGTTCCCTGTGGATTTACGAGGGAGTCAAAAAGTCCCCAGGAATTGATGTGGGAGTTCCTGAAGATTTGCCGGGAACACTTCAGGAATGTACTTTGAGACTTACGACGACTGCAAGCGATCGTACACGACATTCTTATCATAATATCCATCCCTCGTAAAATCTCATTATAAAATCCGCTTGAAGTCCCTGGGAAATCATGACACAGATTCCACCAGAGACCGAGGATGAGTGTGGGACTCCCCAGGGAGTCGTTTAGGGATTGTGGACTAGGGATACCTTGAATCCTATACTAGCATCAATTCTATTACTTGTGTTTAATAGTTAAGGAAGAGATTGCTGTTCAGTCGAATAAAGAAAGTGAAGTAGACAAAAGTCTAAAAATTCGTTCGTATTATATTTTTGATCAGTACAGTACATCAATATCAACATTCCAAATAAATACTGTTAATTGTATATGACCTTTTTTTGTTTTCACCTATAGAAATACACTTATAACAAAATCTATATTTAGTTTTTTTATTGATTGTAAGAACGATGAAATATCAGTTTATTCGAAAGCATATCTTTTTAAATAAAACAAATTCATTTCAATAAAACCAATGGAATACTTAATTCACGATGGAAGATCAAAATAAATATATTAATCAAATAGAAATGCACTTTCGTTCTTTTGGTCACTTCTCAGATTGCGCATCATTTGTATTCAGCATTAAAAAAAGCGTATTCAACGGCTACATGCGTCAGAGCAACGATATCTTATTGTATTTTATCAGTTTTCAAAGTAATATCATAAAAAAAAATATTCCTCTATTCGAGAGAGTTTTGCGTAAACCTAAGAGAGAATAGCATATTTGAACTTTTTTTGATTTCAAGTATGTAATAAACAAGATGATGTCAATTAAAATTTTGCTTTGTCAATAATCACAATTCTCCGAAAGATATTCACATGTCACTATGGAAACTAAAAGTGATTTATATATATGAAAATAGTGAAAAAAACCAGCTATTGCTATGAAAGTATTTATCAAGAAGAAAGAAAGCAAAAGTATTATGTCTTTTATGTATATATGATATTTGTTGAGTATTCATCATAAAAACAGATTTAATAATATTCTCTCTATCGACAGTATGATCGTCACAGCCTACCAGGGGATGGTGTGATTCTTTTAATCTTGCTACGCTTTTTCAAGTGAAAGAAAAAAGAAAAAGATATTCGTATGTTTTATCGTTTGCTTTACGATTGTGTATGAAAATGTTATTGTTATTTTGTTTTTTTATAATTCTCTAAGTATTTAGAGAAAGAGAAAAAGCATAAAAGACAAATATTTTTTTCGTCACATTAATTTTTTTAGCAACAATATGGCAACACGTACATTGAGCGCTGTGGATTATGTTCTTCTTGTTATACTTCTTCTTGCATCGACTGTTATTGGTGCTATATTTGGATTTTTCAAATCTAAGAAGAGTTCAGCAAAAGAATTTCTTCTAGGTAATCACCTTAATAACTTTTTCTTGAAAAGCATACAAGTATATTCTTTGTATTGTAGCTGATGGTGGTATGAGAATAAGTCTTAAACTTAATTAAAATCATCTTGTCTTGATTGTTTGTTCGACATTCAGGTACTTCCAACAGATCTTAGTATCATGGTCTCGTTTCTGTCAGTTATTACTCTGCTAGAAACATAAAGTGAAGTTTATCTGTTTGGTACTTTGTGTTGTTATCAAGGTAAAAAATAGTAGTCATGCATCAATTTTAGAGACATACAAAAGACAAGCTTGTACGATCTCAGGTGTAGATCACTATCTTACATGGAGACTTTGTTTTACTAAAAATAAACTGGCAACTATTCTCTTTTCTTCGCATACCATGACGACTTTTTATATTTTTTTATTCGATATTTTCTAATATGCAGCATGAGACTAAGTCATGTAGCTTTGTTAGAAATATGTTCAATGTGCTTCATAATCTAACACATCAGTTATACTTCAAAGATTGTCTTTTTAAAAATGAAATTGATTGTTGCAAAGCTATCAAAAGAATGTTTCACCTTCATTAAATATACTTATTCAGAATGTATCTCAATTAATTCAACATCTGTATTTTGAAATTTAAAGAATTTTTGCTTCATTTTCAACTTAGACAAGTCTATCTAAGGAAAAGTAAAACAAGATAGATTTAATATCTAGTACACCCTTTGAAATGGATACTTTGTTCTTGAGACATTGAAATTTCAAAACAATGTTCTTTTTTTAGAGAACATATCACAAGAATAGAGATATCTCAAGAACAAAGCATTTGTTTAGGACATCAAGAAAATTGCAAATTGTTAGCTAATCTGTCAAAACATATTTTGATGTAAGTCACCAAGTACTGTATTATATTTTAGCTATTTCATGAACAATTGCTTCAACAATAACAGCATTAGTATTTATGCCAAAGTTTCGTGAAATGAATTTTACAAGTGCATATGAAGTATGTTCATGTTTGATTTTTCTTTTATCAAGTACTATATTATATATTATTTAGTATTTGGAAGAGCGTTTTGATCATGCAGTACGCATGTGTGCATTCTTTACTTTTTCGTCTTTTATGGTAAAAAATCTTGAATAATTAAATTGAAATTATATGCATTATGTAAATAGCTAATTTATATGGCTATTGTTTTATATGTTCCTGTATTAGTACTTACTCAAAGTAATTACATTCAATTTGATTTGCCTGAGCCAAATCGGATTGAATCGTCGTATTTTGGTTTATCATAACTTTCTATTGCCCTACTTTTTTACGGAGGAAGACGATCGTAACAAAGAGCAATGTAAAACGCCTAAGTGCTCTCTTATATAATGAAATATGGAGTGTATACATGTTTTGTTTACTTCGTTCTAGGTTGTTTTTATCAAATAAAAAACTTTATAGTTATTTTGATACTTCCTTTCTGAGCAAGTAATCATAGGATATTATTTTCTTTCTCCTCATAGCATACATAACGATAAACAATTTTTACGCATCGTTAAAAACGCATGATAGTTATTTACGCAGAGAACGAAAACGACGATACATAAAATCATACATGCAAAACTAAGATCAGAACAGCAAGGTGAGATAAAGACGTCTCGTCATATATTTTCCGACAAAAGAACTAAAAACTTTATTATTTATTGCCTATTCTAAACAAAACTTGTCGTTGTTGTCAACAAAACAAACTCGAACAGCAAATTAATACTATGTCGTTCATTGATCAAGAATTTGCAGAGCTTGCATCAGGAAGTTCAGATGGTCTGCTGACAACCGAAAAATCGATTTCCTATTCTAATGAGACAGTATGTATGACACAGGACAATAATCAGGAACAATCGGTCGACAACATTATTTTTTTAAAGTACTGGCAATCTCACATATCTTAAAAGTTCATGACCATCTGATTGAATCAAAACATAAATGAATTTGACAATAAATATCATGATTTAATTATTCAGCTTCGACATATTACTAATGCCATCCAACTATTTACTGATGTCGATCAATGCATTGATTCTATTAGAAACACTGACAATGGGTGATTTTTGTTTATTTTATCATATGATATCGGTATGACTGTTGTACGTCTCGTTAATGATTGGTCTCAAGTCGATTTAATATACATTTATTATAATGAAGGAATCAAATCTCGACAAAGGTTATCAGAATATACAAAAGTAAAAGGGGTCTTCTCTAATATCTTGATAATTTTCGATCAACTTCAACAGAAATCAGGACTATACGAGCAGGATCTAATATCCACGAATATATTCTCGTTCGATTCTACTCTTGATTTAGATGAACTCGCTCAATCATTTATATATTCTCTATTATTAAAAGAAATTCTTTTTGAAATGAATTATACGATGAAAAAGCAAAACTTAACTTTTTCAAATTGTACCGCGATCAATGCTTAGATTACCAACTTGATTTAAATAGAATCGATGAAATGGAAAAAGTTTATAATGAACATTCGCCTATTTGGTGGTACCTAAAAATGCCGTCAATTAACTCGATACTCACTAAAGCCTTAAGAACACAAGACGTTACAAGTATTATTAAAATGGGATTTTACTTGAAAGATCTTCATCAACACATTGAAAAAATTTACTCGACAGTAAATAAAACCGAAAAATTAATCGTATATCGAGGAGAAAGTATGTCAAACGATAAGTTTGAAAGAATAAAGAAAAGTAAGGGAGATCTTTTGTTATTCAACAACTTTTTGTCGCTAACTGTTGATCGAAAATTGGCGTTGGAATTTGCCAATACTACTCGAGACAATTCAAATTTGACAAGCACTCTCTCCGATATGGAGATCGGTCCATCAATGTCGAAAACTCAACTTGTTCCATTGAGATTTGTCAATGGTTATTCATCGTGTGAGAATCGAATGCTTTTTTCAATGTATACCATCTTTTGCATAAGAGAAATTAAAGAAATCGACAATGGTGTATAGAATATCACGATGACTATGACAAATGACACCCATCTTCAGCTCGAGCATCTTACAAATCGTATTTGCGACGAAATACAAGATTCTAATGAGTTGCATCATCTCGGAAACTTATTAGTTAATATGGAACAGTTTGACAAAGCTGAAGAGATTTACAAGACACTATTCGAAATGTTACCTAATGACTATTCAAAAGAACTTGTACATATTCACAATCGATTTGGAAACATTCTTATTGAAAAAGGTCATCTAGATAAAGCATTATCATTTTTCGAAAACACACTTAAGATGAGATGTAGATCTTCTTCATCAAACGATCCAGATTTGTCTATCATCTACGATAGTATTGGTTTCGTCTGCAACAAAATGAGACAGGATTTTAAAGCACTCTCGAATTATTTAAAAGCACTTGAGATCCAACAGAAAACTCTTCCATCTGATCATCTTGACTTAGCTGCTACGTACAATAACATTGCCTTGATATATAATAATATGGAAGAGTATTCAAATGCACTCTCTTTTTACGAAAATACATTTAAAATTCAGGAAAAATCTTTGTCAACAATTCACTCAGCATTAGTTGATACATAATAATATAGGACTAGTATATAGTTCAATGCATAAGTACTTAAACGCTATCTCATATTATAAAAAGGCTCTTAAAATTCAGAAATTAATTCTTCCATTCAATGATCTATCAATAGTGGCAACGTATAATAACATTGAACGGGTACATGCTGCTATGGAACAATACTCATTTGCACTGTATAATTACCAAGATGCACTTAAACTTCAAGAAAATGTTCTTATTTCAAATGATCCTTTATTGGCTGAGACATATAACAATGTCGGAGAAAAGTATCGATTAACAGGAAACTACTTAACTGCATTGGAATATGATAAGGAGCTTTAAATTCAAGAAGAACAACTTCCATCAAACCATTCATCATTAGTTAAGACAAAAAATAATATAAATCAAGTATATAACTCAATGAAGAGCTATGAAAAAATATTCTCCGACTTGATGAAAATGCTCAAAATATAATCAAAATTATATCCATCAAAGGATTCAACATTCGATATGAGTGATAATGATTTAGCAATAATATTGGCAGAACTCTATCGATATATAGAGGCTACTAAACATTAATCACAAGCATGCAATATTTTTTCTTATAGCATTGAGTCGAATCATTTGCAAACCGACAAACATGAAGAAGATCTCAAGGAACACCCAACTATAACCAGTGATGAAAAATCAAATGAAGAAGCAGTCAGTAAGCAGTAAGTCTAGATAATCTTTTATACAGAACAATCAATTTTCTATATAGGTGGACCTATCCTGTTCTTTTGGTTCTTCCGTCATTAGAAGAGTCTCAGCTATATTCTATATTGAAAAATATCACTGTTGATTGTATCATGCTTCCAACACAGATAGACAAATGTCTAGACAAATTAAAGTCAGACCAATAAATAAAAGTTCTTGTAATTGATGTATCATCTCTTTCTGTCAATGATCGAGATCATGTACTCGAAGCTGTATCATCTCTTGATAATATTACATCAATCTACTTGTTGGGAAAATCACCAGGAACAAAGAAACAACAGGATGAATTTCTTAATCGTTTTGATAAAATATGTATATTTTGTGAGAATCATGAGAAGCTTGTTGTTCAATGGGCATTGGACACAGCTAGTCATTGTCGCATATTTGGCAATCAATGCACTAAAACAGGTGATAAAAATGCTGTTCGTGAACATTTTCAACGAGGTATAAACATTTATGATGATCTGAGTAAGTTGATCAATCGAACACAATATAAAGTATCATTATAAACATTCTTCTGTTTATCCATGACGATGGAATAAAATAAACTTTTCTTTTTTTTTCAAATCAAATACTATTTTTCATCAATATAATTTTCTTTTAATATTAATAATGATTTTTCTTAGACTTTTAGATTTTATGACAGCATCTAGCACAACGGTATTGACTCTTTTTGACCCTGATGATAATCATGAATGGTGTGATACTCGATTCAGTAAAAGAATATTTACTCGTTTTATTGATTCTCATCTTTGCCGTAATCACATATCTACTCATGTCGTCAATCAAGCCATGAATGTTCATTTCTTTTTTCCTGATACTCAACTTGAACTTATTATGCATTGGTCACCTGAACATAGCGATACTTATAAATATATTTATTGTCGTGATCAAACGTCAATCAATGAAATTAGAACAACATATGGAAGACATATTGCTCACAAGATTTTTTCTGTTGACGACTTAGAATTTGAAATTCGTCATGTTCAAGTTGCTCAGTTGCATGCATTAGCAAAACAAGAACCTGAACAATCACTTTGGCGTGATGAAATAGCATCAAATGCAATAAACGAATTAGAATGTCTTAGTCACATGTTAAAACAGATGATGACTGATCAAATAAGTGAGCAGCCTGTCGAACATCAATGACACACAATTTTTCTTCTTCTTCAAATCACTGATGGCTATCAAACCATTCTTTTTTTAATGACTTTGTCGTATATAAGTTCTCCATGTAGGAGACTCGTTCAACTATAAACCACAGACAGTCATCGATAGACTGTTGTGACGATTGTGTACACATTACTGTTCATCTTCAAAAAGCAGATTTTGAAGATTATCATACGCTTTTTATTAGTGACAAGAAATAATAAGCTATTTGTGCAGACGGACTGGAAAAATGTCGATGTAGAAAATGGTTAAAATGTAGTTTAGAAAATTCTGACTAGCAAGATGCATGCTTTATTGTATAGGACGATAATAGCATTCTAACAAAGATCAAACATAGGTCAAGATATAAATAAGAAAAAATTTGTAATTTTTTTTATTTAGTAATCGTAAATGATCAGCCAACTAAGTGCTCCATTGCATTTATAACACCGTCATAATATCATTCGCCAAGATGTTATGAATGATACAATACTTGGATGATTAACTTGCATTCGGCAGTTAAAATGACTATGAAAGAATATGGGTATGGTATAAGAAACAATTCACGCTTACACTTATATGTTAGAGTTTCTTGAAGTTTGCCTCGCTTCCCCCACACCTATATATATCCTGTACTTACTTTGGCTGCATTATGAAAGTAATATAGGAGTATAGTTTTTTCATCATGATATTTAATTTGCGATCAGTATAATTACATACTTATTAACTTATATTTGAATAGATAATTCGACATAGAATACTATTAATATTCGATGAAATTTTGTCAATTATTGTATTGATGTCCAAATAGAACAGTACGTTCATGCCATTATTATTTCTCTTTTTCCAAGATACTGTTTCAGTTTATTTAAATAATCCATTCAATACTACAATACTTTTTTTCCAATAGGAAATCCTTCATTTTGCAGTAGCCTATTTACTTCTTGTAAATGAAATTGTTTGACAAAAACATTATATAAATGTATTTCAAGTTATCAGTGAAAAGAATAAATCAATTCACTTTTTTAAATGTTACACACAAACAAAAACAAAACGATTTATTCTATTTAAAACTAAATTATCTACATGAGAGTAAAAATAAAAACAATAAAAAGATTAAAAAATGATGAAAATGAAATCGAGCTTCTTGCTCGATTAAGAGTAAATGGATAAAAGAAATCACCTGGTAGGCGAACATTAGGTCGTGGTAGTCGATCGCCTTGAGCAACAGGTGCATTCGATATATCTTGAAAAGTAACACTCTGACTTATTAGTAATGGTGTTGTCAATGTTGATGTATATGTTTTAGTCTATAAAAAGATAACAAATGTTTGACAAGGAAAAAAAGTTGTTAGTGCAATCTGTGCAAAATTAAAATGTGACACACGATGTAACTGCTGTTGCTAATTATAGAACGATGGGTAATTTCTATAGGATGCATGAATATGACTTATTTTCTGTCAAAAACGCAGTTCTTTTTCTTAGAAATATTAATTTCCAGTATTCAATGAAAAGGTTGATGAAAAAAACAAGAGTGAAATCCATAAGAAAAAAAGATTTTCGATGTAAATAGGAAAGCTATTAAAACAAAGTTTTTCAAAGAGAATAATAAAACAAGAGCTCTAAGATTTATTTCGTAGATCTTGCTACTTTCTTTGAAAATAAAAAGTTCTTTCCTCTAAAATGATAAAAACTTGGCCATGTTGAGGGGCTAGGGTTTTCTCAAAACCTTAGAGTCAGAACAGTCTTTTTAAACTAAAAAAAAGTCAGCCATTGGTAAACGTATATTGTGCATTATTTAAATCGTAGAAAATCTCCACCGGTTTACTTAGGCTTCAAATATACAGCAAGGAACTAGTTTATATATTAGGATAAGATACTGTTGATAAGCTGTTTCTAACATGGCTGTCATCGTCTGTGGCAGAGATAAAACTAGTCTGGATTTTTCACGAACCATATTAGTCTAAGTAGATCAGACCAGGTCGTGACATAGTCAACTTTCAGCTACGTTTCAATACACATCTTATGTTAGATAATAAGAATAAAAATAAATAAATAACGAAAAAAAACCCAGATGATAGGTCTACCGACAGATTGGCTGTAATGGGTAGCAGTTTCATTTCTAGCTAGTAAAGGTTCTAGGCTAATGTCTGTCATGGTTTGTTGAAGAAGGGATCGGGACTAAGACTTTCTGTCATATATGTTTCAACATTCCTTTTAGATCGTGTTTCGCAAAATTGAACAAAAAACTTTTTCACTTACTACACTTTGGTAATGAAATACAACTGCACCAAGAATAGGTTGTGGATTAGTAACAGCACCAATGTTAGCATAAGCTATTTGAATGTCGAGTCGAATATAGCATTGATCTGTTGATGAATTTGGAATGGAACCTTGTTGACACACAGGTTCATTAGAAGAACCTATTTCAAATATACAATATGTAACAGGTAGCCAATTGCTAATATTTGATGAATTTGGATTGCCATTAGCAGCAACAAAGAGATTAAAAGAATTGAAAGGCATAAAAATATTTGGCAGATTAGTTTGATTTGGACAAATTTCGGAAGCAGTTGAACTATAAAAAAAATGATTGAGATAAATATCTAGTTTAAGTAAAAATTTTATTTATCTATTTTTATATTTTATTTTTTTAGATCAATGAATTTTGCGAATTACTTTTTGAGAACAATGAAGAAAAGCCTTGAGACAATCATGAAGATGTTCTCATTATTTTTCATTGAGTTTTCAAAACTCTAAAATCATTTTTTTTTCAATAAACTTTAACAGACTTGCTTTCCAATTAAAATCTTTTACGAAAATAAAATAATATTTATACTATATTAAGAGCGAAGATCAAGTCCTTTAAACAATAATTATTTTTTCTTCGTACATAAGAATAAAAATATCTTCTGCATGATATCATATTCTTCTGTTTATGCTGAGTACTTCAATTCGAAAATATTATGGACATTTGAAGTATTATAGAGCATCAATAACAATAATAAAGATCATAGAAATATTAACGGGAAGGATACTTGTGACAACTATTTTATTGTAAAGAGTTTGAGGCATCCTTCACAAACTGATCTTAAGCCATGTACATTCACATCACATGGCAACTTTTAGAATTTGTTGGACCTGTAGTAAAGAGGCTATGCAAAAACGTGCAGTCCGATGCTATGAAGTTTTGCGGAGATATTCAATCAATAAGAGTCACAAACTAGTTTATTTGACAATTCAAAATTTTCGAACCGGACTTCGATGGATTCTAGTGGGCTCTCATTTTATCAATTTAGCTATTTTTTATATGAGAGAACATTCCAGAGCGGAGTATCCTTTTTTTTTCTAGCTCATAAAAGTCTCTTCATATTATATTCATGGATCAAAAACAAACAATATACTATAGTCTACTGGTATAATGAAAAATCAGTAGTTTTTCGTATGGCTAGTAGTTGAGTTATCATCTGCGAAATTCTTCAAAGGACTTCGCCAGGTTTGATAATCTATCTTGAGTTAAGATACTATGTAAGTGGTTCTACAGAGCGCTTGACGGTGCATCAAATAGTATATAAGAAATCAAGTTATTTTCAAATATTTATGTACCAAGAGTCCACAATCCTCGTGGGATATATATGGTACTCATATACATTCTGCACTTTCTTTATAGTTATAAATGGTCATTTGCTATTGATCTAGGCTTAAAAGTTGCGTACTATCGAGTTCTATATGTTTCACAGATAAGAACTTTTCGAACAGCAACAACTCATTGTCAATTCAAGAGTGTACGCTAGCATAGTCTATTTTCCTATATGAGTGGACACATTTATTAACGATAGTTTAATACTACTCACTGGTCTTACTAAAAGCTTCTATCTTAGCGAATAGAATGTATATAAGTACCATATATATTTGCCTCAAGGATTATGTAGCCTCAGTACAATAAAATCTGAGAAAAACTCGAGTTCTTCTATTCCATTCGATGTGCCATAAGTCGTTCTACAAAGCCATATTATAGAGTATTCTGATTTAAGATAAGCTACTAAATCTGACGGGATCCGTTTTATATCCAACTCAAGACTCAAATAAGAAAGACTGACATTGAAGATTTTACCTAAATAAACATGATGATTGAACATTTTCACCAAAACGAACAGTTATACGATTGTTGTTAGAACAATATCTGTTTGCTGATGCTTGGAGAATGGTAAAATCTGATACACTTTAGACAAAGAAAAAAACATGATTGTTTTTTACTTTTCAAAAAAAAAAAAAGAATTTCATCAATTCGTTTCTTACTCAACAGAGCTTCCATTTAAAATACCAGCTATGATAGGAGCTCCTTGTATATAACCTGGATTTCCACTACGTGATGTCGTTGATGGTGTCGATCCATTCTATCATAAAACAATTTTCGTAAGACATGTTGTAAAAAAATCTCCTCATTTTTTTTATTTTACTTGAATAAAACGAATAGTAAATGTTTGTTGTACTGTGTTGCCTGAGTTTGCATCGGTAGTATTCAAAATAATACTACAATTAGTTATACCTATTGGATTTATATAGAAAATTTTCATTGTTAACTAAAATATAAATGAGAAAAAAAGTTTAGATTTAAATATATGCATTTGTTTTAATTGTCTTACACTTTGAAGAGCATTTGAACATGTGGGATCAGCCCAACTTGTAGATGTGGCAATTCCGCTACAGCAAATATAACTTCGATTATTACCTAAATTACAGAAAAGTACGGATACATATATACATATGTATAATTGAACGATAAAATACTGGCGAGAGTTGCTGGATTCTAGAAAAAAAAAATTATAAAAGAAAACCTATCAAAATAGTTTTATTTATTTATTGTTTTACCGTAAGAAGACAAAATGAACCAATATATTTCGTAGCACTGAGTGCACCAACACATGTTTGATCATTTACTGGCTGAGCACATGTTGAATCAAAATCATTCATATAAGCTATAATATATAATAAAATATCAACTTTACACTATTAATTCTTCATATAAAGCATATTTACTTATTGGTTGTAAACCTGAACATATTTGACTATTGAAAAGTTTTATTGGTAGTGAATAATAACTTGTTATATTAGTTGTCGATATATATCTGAATATTGAAATGCCTGCCTATAATATTTGCAATTATTTTGTATATATATATATCCAAAAACAAACTTATCCGATGCATAGAATAAGAAACTTTTTGCAAAAGAACTTATCATTAACTGTAAAACTGCATTTTTAGGATATCAGAACAAAAAATGTAAGATTTGTTCTGTATGATTATTTTGAATTCGTACGATAAACAAAAATAAGTTTATCAGAAAAATCATTACAACTCCGAAATGTTCTGGTTGAAAGACGCCGAAAAATGTTAGGAACTTAAAAGTAGTATTATGATGATCATGCCCAATGAGTGGCTCTGCTAAATGATGGTTATCTCCTGTTCAAAGCAAAACAAAAACTCGAACACTAGATCTAGAATGTTCATGGTCGAAATCGGCCGTGAATCATTCAATTCGTTTTCATGAGATAGATTGTAATAGAAAGTATGAAAGATATTTTACTTGATAGTCAGTTAGCTCAATTGGTGTTCCAAGTGGTGATGAAACACTATTATCAATATTGATTGATCGTGAAAAAACACTTGAATCTAACTTTTGATTTATTTGTTGTTGATAATCGGCAGCATTTGTATCAATATCTGAATAGAATAGTTTAATAGAAATCAAGAAAAGAAGTAATAACAAACTTCGTTCATCACCAACACAAACAAGATCACCCTGTTTTTCAACAATATATGGTGAATTGGATTTATATATTGGTATATTTTTGAAACATGTTAATTGTGCCGAAGATTTTAATGAAATCGAACTAAATGAGTTGTTGAAAAAATAATGATGTAAAGTTGATCTATATTTTTATCATTTTTCATTAAAAAGAATATTGAAGCATAAGTGGACATAATTGAATCACTAATACCCAACAAACTACCAGAGACATTAGTCAAAAATCATCACAGGAAGGAAGAAGAATAGCACTGCCTGTCGGTTGCCTTGTGGTGTAGGATGCTATCTAACAGTAGATTCATTATTTCAATATGCTTCCTACAACTAACACTAGCTGTTACTCTGGAGAGACGGCTGATCTGATGTAGTATTCTGGCACTCAACCGCTTGAAGTCCTCGCATACATTGATTTATTACATAGTAGCTACGATGGCAGGTGTACGTCACAACTTAGTTAGCATACTATCAGGTTGGTGATCCGAGACAAACAGCCATCAATGGCTTGTCCAGGATCATTCTATAGTTGGTGGTGTCAGTCTTTGAACACAGTATCTATTCGATGCATATCGAATTGCGTAGCCTTGATTACTACAACAGACACCTTAACGACACTACCATCTTCTTTATATCGCAGACCGTGTATCAATAACATCTCGTAATAATATACGAGATATTTCCTTATTGCATTTTAGAATATTGAGTAAAAGGATAATGCAGAAATGTGTTTCAAAATAGATAGGTTAAAACGATCCCATTACGGTGAGAGAGAGAGCAACTACATCGTGTTTCACATTTTTATGTAGATGAATCGATTTTTTCTTTTACCTTTAAATATAGTTCTATGGATTTGACAATAGTCTTAAGTTTTAATTTTATTTACATTTTGTGTTTGACTTACTTAATATTTTTATTTTTTATTAAATCATTACAATTGAATGTTTTGATATCTTCTGCTGAACAATCAGTATCACAACAGCATGGTACATCACATGAACCATTGTTTAAATTACATGAACATATTCCATTATCTAACATCAAAAGCAGAAAAACTTGTATAAAATAATGTGAAGAAATAATTCTAATTTACTCGTATTTATTGAATTAGCTCCTAGATTTTGACATTGAACAATTTGAGTACATAATAAAAACAGCAAGCTAATAAATATAAACATCTAAAATTCATTTTACCATAAATAAAAATAAACGGAAAAAAAAATTTATTGAAGAAAAAAAAAAAATAAGAAAAAACGATTTATTTATGCTCTAAAATAAAAAGAAAGATTATTTATATAATGAAGAAAAGAAAAACAAGAAAGATTTAAACATACGATTTTAATGAAAGTTGTTCCATTTTTTCACTTTGTTCACGTTCAGTTTTTTGTAATGATTCATATTCAACTCGAAGTCTATTTAATAAAAAACAGTTTAATAAATTATAAAACAAAATATCGATACATACCTATCCAGTTCAATCATTTTTTCTTTAATTAATGATTGTAATTGTTGTTTTTCAAATTCTCGATATTTAGTCGATGATTTTAACATATTCTTGGCTCCAATTGCCTAAAATTCACAAATACAATATATATAGATAATAAACAAATGTTACTTATGAATTTTCTTAAATAAATGAGTAGAAAACGTTTATCGGATTAGTAATAATTAACTGACAAAACAAAAGAGTTTATTACCGAAAGATTAAATGTTGACTATAGGACAAGTTTACTTCGATGTTCTATAAACAGAAATCATAGAAAATATGAAAGAAATGAAAAACAATGAATATTAGTTTTAGACAAACGAATGCTTTAATATTTGAATTCGATAATTTCATTGATTTACTAACTACATATCCTATTTATCATAATAGATCACTTGTCTTCTCATCTAAACAAATCTCATTAATGGAAATCACACTTTCTATTAGTTCGAATGTTCAAAAGCTTTTGTCAATTTTTAATTATAATCAACATATTAGCTTTTGTTTTTTTTTTTTTTGTTATTCAATAATCATTTATTCAAATAAATGCTTCCGACAATAAAAAAAATTAGAATTATTTCCTTAGTAGTGAATGCAAGCATGTATCAGTGATATATTAATAAAAAAAAAAAAACATCAAACTATAATATTATTATTTTGAATAAGTTAAAATTTCATTTGATTGTTTGAATTTCCGCTTACTTTAAGTCGTGCTGCTTCGACTTGTTTTGAATATTCTTCAGTTTTTTCAATTAATGTATCGACAATTTTTTTGAATTCAAGTACATCTTAATAAATTTATTTACATACTCGTTTATATGAAAAATTATAAAATATTTACTGTCAACAAAATCCTTGCATTCATCACGTAATTCAGCTGAATCAGTTAGTCGTTCTGGATCGATTAAACGAATTTTATTTTCATCATCAATAAATAAACCAAAATTAGAAAGTGCTTCTTCAACCATTTGATTACTCACAAGAATTAATCAATCTAGCTTTTTCTTCTATTAAATGAAAATCCAACATACCATTGAGGAATTCCGGATACTACTAATCACTTAGCAACTATCATGTAGTATTCTACTTTTTTTGTAAAAATTATAATCGATCAGAAGTTGTTAAAAAAACAAAAAAGAAATAAAACATTTTCACTAACAACAAAAATTTATTTAAGACATTATAGATGACGCTAATAACAAAACCAAATCTTCGGATTATGTATTGTTGTTCACTCATACCTAGAGTGATAAGTTTCAATAGGAGGGAATGAGCACCGAGGATCAGCATCCAATACGGACCAAATTTTTGTGATTCAGTACCCAGCTCGATTAATCCATTTTTTAGCACGAGTTGAACTCTAGTATCGACCACTTTGCTCTTCAATTATGCCATAGAATTTTTTCTTGCTTGTCCTTCTCTTTGTTATGCTTATAAGTTGCCACCTTTACATCATCATTGAACAGACAATTCACTTGCTACGCATCATTATCCGATGCTAATGAAGAAAAGATCGTGCAATACATATACTTCTTGTTCTAATAAACTCTTTCATTCTCTCACATCAAACTTTTAGATGAAACAAACACTCAAAATGCCTTTTGTATTTGTAAAATGTTCAGACTACAAATCAGCCGCGAAATCCAAAATGTTTTTTGTATCCTAACCAGAGTCGAATAGTCCTGGAAGGAAGTCGTCTATTTCTTGCGAAGTATGTTTCGAGTTGTCTCAGCAGAGAATGCCTAAAGATTCTCTATATTAGTTCAATGACATCAATCTATAGATTTTCGATTGAAAATTCCTCGAAACTAAGAAAATTTCAAAAAGAATCATCGAAAACTTCCAGTCGTCACCGTCGATCAATCCATTGACATACATCTTCACTAAATAGGATTTATCCTATAGGGCACCTATTTATATAGAGTATACGAAGAAAATTCATTGCAGTTCACAGTACCTAAGACAATCTTATCATTTATTTTATGACGTCAACAACCTATTATCAAAAATAAAAACAAAAAAAAGACATTTGATGTTTATTGTCATTGAGCAAACATGACATATGAAACTTCATTTACTTTAAAGGCTTTTGCATTATCACTCTGTAGTATATATTATCTTTATTTAATGCT